TGAAGAAACCTGTGTGGAAGAATACCGAAAGTCTTTGAAAGAGATGTGGAAAGAAACATGCACAGTCGTATTAGGAAGGAAGAAGAAAGAAGATAATGAATGGATCTCAATGGATACATGGAAGCTGGTCGAAGGGAGAGGGGGGTGATGAAGCAGAAGATAAACCAGTGCAAGGATGCTCAACGACATGAGGAACTGAGTACAATGTATAAAACACTAGACAAAGAAGTGAAGAAGAGTGCATGGAAAGATAAAAGACACTTCTACAACACGTTGGCAAGTGAAGCAGGACAGGCTGCAGGTAGGAGATTCGGAGACCTGACAACATTGTATCAAATAACCAGGTTGCTATCTGAGAAGAGATCAACGCAGATGAAACTAATAAAAGATGGTGACGGAAATTTAATTACGAAAGAAGAGAAACAAAGGAAACAATGGGCCGACCACTTCAAGAAGCTCTTGAATCGTTTTTTACCACCACCACCTGCACTTCGTCCAAAAATATCCCCTGCAGCCACAGAACTACAAGTGAACATAAATCCTCCAACAAAAATGGAAGTCCTGAATGCCATAAAGCTACTGAAATGTGGGAAAGCAGCAGGACCAGATGGGATCCTGCCAGAAGCACTGAAAACAGACGCAGAGGCAACAGCAGACATGCCCACACCACTATTGCAGAAGGTCTGGAAGGAAGAGAAGGTACCTGTTGATTGGAAGAAGGACTACCTTGTCAAACTGCCGAAGAAGGGAGACCTCAGTGTTTGCAAGAACTGGCGCGGAATCACTCTCCTGTCCACCGCAAGCGAAATATTGAGCCGCATCATCCTGGGAAGGCTTAAAGATGCACTGGATTCAAAACTACCACCCGAACAGGCTGGCTTCAGGAAGTATAAATCATGTGCGGACCAAATTGCAACGCTATGCATCATCATAGAACAGAGTGTAGAATGGCAGTTAACCCTCCATCTCAACTTTATCGACTTTGAGAAGGCCTTTGACAACGTCGACCGAGAGATAATTTGGCAGTTGCTTAAACAGTATGGAATACCACAAACCTTTATCAGCCTCATTCAACAAGTATATGAAGACGCCACATGCCAAGTAATTGACAACGGGAAGCTCAGTGATGCTTTTGAAGTGAAGACAGGAGTGAAACAAGGTTGCCTACTATCACCAATGATATTCCTGATTGTAGTGGACCGGACAGAAATGTGTTATTGTGTGGACAGAAATGTGGTGTGGAGACGTGCTACTGAAGCCCTATGTTCCATTACGAACCCAAGGACTAATAATAATGATACCATGATGTCCACAAGAGCATCAAAGGCTCTCTCCCTCCTCCTCTAGGATCAGGATCATGACAGCAAGGTTCAACTCAAAAGGAAGGAAAGTCACCGTCATTCAGTGCTACACGCCTACGAATAATATAGATCAAGAAAAGACCCAGGAATTCTACAGACAGCTACAATCAGTGCCCGACAAGACCCCGCCCCATTTGGCGACATCGAAATTCTAACGGGCGACGTGAATGCCAAACTGCGATCAGACAACACAGGAAGAGAACCAACTCTAGGTCGGGAAGCGCTCAGTGAAATGAAGGAGAATGGAGAACTGCTTGCAGAATTCTGAGTATTCAACGACTTGGTGATAGGAGAGATATTGAGCAACATTCCTGAAGAAACCTGCGTAGAAGAACGCTAGCACTCTTGGAAAAAGGTGTGGAAAAAATCCTACATAACCGTGCTAGGAAGGAAGAAGAAACAAAACATGGAATGGACCTTAATGGACACATGGAAGCTGATAGAGGAGAGGAAGATGGTGAAGCAGAATATGAACCAGTGCGGCGGATGGATGAACAACGAAAAAAGGAAGTAAACAGAACCTATAAAACACTACAGTGGACAAAAGAATGAAGAAGAGTGGGTGCAAAGACAAAAGACACTTCTACGACACATTGGCAAGTGAAGCAGAACAAGCTGCTGGTAGGACAGACCCAACATTGCATCAAATAACCGGGTCACTATCGGGGAAGAGATCACCGCAGATGAAACCATTGAAAGATAGTGAAGGAAACCTAGTTACCAAAGAGGAGAAACGAAGGAAAACTCTTGAATAGACCACGACCACCACCTGCAACTCGTCCAGAAATATCGCCTGCAACCCAGCCACATAATTACCAGTGAAAACAAGCTCTCCGAGAAAAGCAAAAGTGTAGTGCTGAAAGCCATAAAGTTGCCTAAAGTCGGGGAAGCAGCAGGACCAGATGGAATTCCTCCAGTAACACTGAAAACAGACACAGAGATATCAGCAGTGGACATGCTCACACCATTACTCCAGAAGATTTGGAGGGAAGAAAACGTACCTGCTGGCTGAGTGGAAGTAGGGCTACCTTGTGAAACTCCCAAAGAAGGGAGAATTAAGTCTTTGCAAGAACTTGCGAGAAATCATGCTCCTTTCCCCGTCTATACCAATCAAAATATTAAGTCTCATAATCCTGGGGAGACCGAAAAGTGCTATGCATTCCAAATTACAACCGGAGCAAGCTAACTGGCTTCAGAAAGTGCAAATCATGTGCGGATTAAACTATAATGCTACTCTACGCATCATCGTAGAAGGGAGTAAAGAATGACAGTCAACTCAACTCTACCTTAACTTCATTCACTTTGAAAAAGGCCTTCGACAGATTCAAGCGACAAGTAATTTGGCACGCAGCTGCTCCAACACTACAGTTTTAGTGCCACAAATCTTTATCAACCTCACTCAGCAGCTATACGAAAACGTCACATGCTGAGTCATTCACGATGCGAAGCTTAGTGACGCCTTTGAAGTGAAGACTAGAGTAAGACAAAGTTGCCGTGTAATATCTCCGATGATCTTCCTGATTGTGGTCGACTAGACTGCATCATGCAGCAAGCAGTGAGGAGTGGGAAGATGGACATACGCTGGCTGGACCGATGAAAAGACCCCACGAGAAGATTTCGATTTCGCCGATGGTGATTTATTTCTACTGTCTGATGCCGCACAAACCCGAAGATCTACAGGTGGAAGCTAACAAGTTGAAGGAGAGACGAGGTGGCGAAGACGGGACTTCAGGTGAACATAGAGAACACAGCGGTGATGGAGATACCCAACCAACTACATCACCAACAAACCCCAATCACGATGAACGGAGTAACCTAAAGGAAGTAGTCTCTTTCACCCTACCACTTACCTACCTACCTACCTTGGTAGCGTCGTTTCAACTAAAGGCGGCACAGATGAGAACGTCAAGGACTAGACCGGAAAAGCAAGACAGACCTTCATGAACCTGAAACCAGTGTGAAGATCTACTTCACTCCACTCAATATGAGGCGTGAACAACGTCCGGATCTTCAACAATAATTCAGTCAAGTAAGTCAGTGCTTCCACGCGACAATTCAGAAGCTTGGCGAGTCACGAAAGGTAATTCCAACAAACCAAGGACATACATCAAACCAAACGCTGCTGCCTACGCCCGCTCAATACAATACTGACGCTGAAAGCCAGATGGCAAGAATAAAAGGAATACGTGACAAGGAACTCTGGCTGGCTGGCAACGAACCAACCAGGAACACATCGCCCAAGAAATATGCAGAAGAAAGTGGATATGGATTGGGCATACACTGAGAAGACCATTCGGAGACATCATGCATCAGCCCCTAGAGTGGAACTCAGAGGTGAAATGACGAACTGGGCGCCCGAGCCGGGGATGACATGGAGATGGTGTGAGAAATAAACGAAAGCTTGTAGGCAGTCGTGAAGCCGGGTCGAAAAGACTGCCGCGAGAGAGTGGAGACGCGCTACTAAAGCCTGGTGTTCCACTAGGAGCCCAAGGGACAAATAAATAACAATAAAATAATATACCGCTATCACCATTTGGTATCGTCTATACAGTACACCATGATGTTTCAGTGAAACTTAAGATGCAAATCTTTTGATAATAAGTAGAATCGCCCATGATACTTCCTTCAATATTCATGATCTTTCTGATGAAAACCTGTGGGTAATTGAGCCAGCAATACTTTTTTGAGAATGAGATTGCTGAATTGCTTTTTCTTTATTCTTTGCATGGAACTTTCGCAGACCCATTAAACGATTTTACTTAATGCTAGAAAACAGTGAAAACACGAAAATTCGACATGCAACTTAAAGTTCATTATTTGTGTGACGTAGTCTTTTTTTTCACCCAGGGGTTCTCTCTGTGTGGGATAAAAAAGAGATAACAAATAATACTCCTAAAAATTTTCCACCACTAAATGTGATAACCACACCTGTAAAAATGGTATATACCCGTAAAATTTAGAAATAATAACAATTATTACTATAATCTGGAGACACTGCACTTAATCAGCTGCTGGTCTAAGGTTCACACCGCATGAGAAACCGATGGCAGTAGTCAGTCTGCATCTATTGAAGTGTAAGTGACTGGGAGGTAGCATTCTAAATAATTCGAATCACTGGCTTCTTTATTTGTATAGGCAAATCTGTGATTAGTATATTAGATCACTTGAACGGATATCTAGCATACGTTTACTCCTCAAAAATTACTAAATCTAAAAATGTTCTATGTTTGTTTAGACTACATTAAAACAGTCCTTAAGACACAAGCCTGATGTTCATTTACATTCTCTGAGTGGGCCTGCAGACTCAGTAATAACCCGCATCCTATCCTTTACTTTTTCTTTGTTTTTTTGCCTGTTTTTTGGACAGAAGAAATCGTCTTTCATTTCATATAGACACGAAAGCCAATCAAGTGGAGTATATTTCTATTCCAACACTAACATTTTGAAATGATTTAAATTTTTTATTGGACACCATGAGGGCACTTGTTTAAGTTCCTCAGAGCGGTAAACATCCGACGGCGGAGCTTCTTGCTTTGGAACTGTAATTCACACAGTCTTGAACCCAAGGACTGATTCTCTTGGGTTGATTTTCCATATTTTTGATATTCTTACTACCGCAATAATTTACACACCTTACTGATGATGCCTGGTCAGTCGCAACGTGGGAAAATAAAGTCTATGAGGTATGTTGGCTCATTAATTGTCATGTGTTGCAGAGCCCGAAATCAGCGTATGCCAATATCGTCCGCGAATGCTTCACGTTTGACGCATACACAGGTACTGTCGAATGAGCTGATTACTTAAACTCCTTAGAATACATCCGATGAAGGTTTGGGGATATACGCAAACCCCGGATTAACTTACATTCTTGGACGTCATGTCATTGTAAGCATAGCTTGTTTAATTCATGTGCCTAGGGCAATGTGGGGAAATCATCACTATCGAAAATGACCGTGTTCTTGGTGTAATAAAGGCTGTCTCACCTTCCGTATGTTCTTGTTTGCATTATAACTTTTTCAGGCCGATTTGGGATTGACGTACGCTCAGGTTGCACATAAGAATGATAAAGGCAGTCGGAAGAATGTAACTGACAAGACTGTATTTTGGTCCGAAATCAAAATGGTTCGGATCCCAAATATTAAGCGGTCAGATTGCTTAATAAGTAAGTTTTCCATTCACTATCCATTCCCATGTAGATGACATAAAGACTGACAGTGAGATCGCAAAGGAATGTCCTACCAATAACTTCGTAGTGGACAAGGAATTAGTCCCATTCTTTGCATCATCGGATGGGGTTAAGGACTGTCTATTAGACCAAGGAAGCTTTTCTGCAGTTGAGATGTTTGAAACGAACGAAAAGATGTTCTCAGTGTCATCTACCTATAATGCAGATCTACGAGAATACACGTAAGTTGAAGCTTTGTGTTATCTTATATCTTAGGACACCTGTTGACCGTTCCGCTCCCAATTTCCCGGAGACTGAGGCACGGTGTGCAAAACTAGCTCAAGACATCACCGAGAATTTTTCAGGTATGGGCTTAATGGACGATGAGGGAGATATTAGTTTGGAAAATGAAGAGGAAAAGTATAGTGCGGTTGTTCGTCCTGGCACAGTCCAAAATGCTGTGCGTAGTGCTAAAAGCAGTCATCGTTCAAATGTAGTCTCTCAACTGGAATCGACAGTTAATAGTAGTGGTAGCCAGTTGTCCCAGGTTTGTATTCAATCGAGTAAAGCAAGTCATAGTGAAGCTGTGCGGGTGAGTATATCTGTTGGAGATACGTTGAAGTCGGACGGTGGTCCTCAGGTCAATGGTGTGTCTAAACCTTGTGTTCAAAATGATAAAGACAAAAGCAAACAAAGTTACGACCAGCTTCCGGAGGTGTCAAACTCTGTTAGCGTGTCCACGACTACGTCATACATTAAGAACAGCACTGCAGATGCTCCTGTTACTTCCGTTGGTAAGACCAGCACAAGTGAAGGACGAGTGAAGAAGTCAACATTGGATCCTAATGCACCAGAATTTCAACCAATGGGGTTATCATACAATTCGCAATCTATGGTTAACATAGCTCAAAACCTTCAGTCAACTTTACCCTCTTTTTCAGCGCAAGGTATACATATTCCACAACATTATATGTCAACCATGAATGTGATCTCTCAAGCTCCTCAGCTGCCCGGGCAAACAGCGTTTATTGCTGCAGGTCAGCAAATGTACACACCCTTCCCATATTCTCATCAAGCCCAGATGCAGCACCTGCTAACTACACCAGTGTGCTCCAATGGCCCAGGAGCAGCTCAACAAATAAGGGGGAATTCTTTACCACCTCTGAACCAACAGAGTTATGCCAACCATGGCCACGGTATGTTACCTCAACTGGGACAAGGTGTTTCACTGGGGCAGATTATCACAACTCCTCAAATGATTACAGGTCACAATTCTTCAGGTCGTCTCTCTGTTTGTCCTTCGTCTTCCGTCAACTTGACGCGCCAACGATCGAATGACTCCCCATCCGCGGTAACGCATTGTACGTCGTATGCCATTCAACAACCAGCAATGTCTATTCCCACTTTCCAATCACAAGCAGTCTACCAACTACCTCAGCCAAATGGTGCGTTCCCATTCTTAGTGTCAAGTCATCCCCAGATGGGGTTGCAATTTCTCCCCGGTTTACCCACTGCGGTCAGCTCCGGTCTTATGGTCGGTGGTGTTCATGTTTCACAGGCTTCTAACCAGCAAGTATGTCCAACTCATACCATAATGCAAATGCAACCTACACACTTACAACTTCCTGTTGGACAGTCAGACCAAGTAACTGCTCCATCGACAACACAACAAACCTCACAATCTCAGCAGATGTTTCCGCAACACTTCCAAGATCATCCTCATCCTAGCCAGATACATTCATATCCCAATGTTCCCGCTCCATACCAACATAATTTGATGTTTGCTCCTCAACAGAATGCGTCTGGATTTTATCCCGCAATGGTTGCAGGACCAGGGACGGTGAGTCATGTTGCTGGCCTGTCGCCTGTTGTTGGTCAACCTAATCCTCACTCACTGAACGCTAGCATTCCACATCAGTCGAATCAGCCCGATTCTTCATTGATCAATTCCCAACAGATACAACAATCTCATATGATGCCTCAGCCAAATTGCCAGCCACAACAGTTACTACAGCACTACCCAGCGGTCGCTCAAGCTCAGTTTCTGCAAGCGCAACAGCTATCTGCTGCTCAGCATATGAGCGGCCAACATCTTCCGAATAGTCACACATACCATGCTGCCCTGCTTGCTGCAATGACTGCAGGAGGTGCAGCCGGGGCTCCTCAGAGTCACTGAATATAACTAGGTGATTTGTTCGAACGCTGATGTTGTGCAACAAGCTCCTGACAGAACACCTCCGAGTTCCAACAAATCCTAAACTACCCGATGCCTTTCATTTTTGGGTGCAGATTGAGCAATACTTCACAATGCTTAGGTCATATTCTACTTACCTGATCTATGAAACAGTGCAGGTGTTACGTCAACTTTAATTTTGCCTTTGCCTATTTCCATTAACCGATTGCAGTTGAGAGTTGCTGTATGGACTGTGAACCTTCAGATAACCCAAGTTTCCTGTTTAAATCTTGTAAAGATCGCTTGTGCACAACTTTAGTGAATATATATAGATAATGAACAGTTTCCATGTTTTTAATAAAAGGAAAGAGTATGTATGCTATTTTCTGATTATTACTGGTAAGCGTGTAAATCCCCCATGGATTTGAGGTTATATAGTGTCGATATTTCACCACAACGTCTAGGTTACAATAATTCAACTTATGCTTCAGAGATTTTTAGAGATAAGACCACGCATCTGTTCACATTCAAGTTGGATGCACAAGACTTTTAACCAATGTGTCGTGTCGGCAAAACACTGCGATATCGGGTATCTTTGCATGCATAAACACTCAATAAGAGCCGCAAATGAGTATTTTGGCGGAATATAGGTATTCGGCTTTCAAGTATGCCTCACTGCATGAGGCACACTGTATATTAGTCGTGTCTAGAACACCTATGTTAAATGGTGTTGAAATTTAGATGAGAATACATAATAGATTGAGTCATTTCACTCGGTTTTGACGCTTCTCAACCCAGTAGCTATAAGGGCTAAAAGATGAGAATAAATCAAGCAGTTTTAATTTTACAGAAGCTTTTTGCGCTAGCCACTTGGAAGGTCATTTATCTTAATCGTCGCGATTTTGTGGTCTTTGACTTTGCCCAGTAAGACAGTCCGTGCCCATGGAGCTGCATCTCAACACTCCTAATCGGTTCAATTCCAACATTCTGGAGGCGTATGTGGCAAAGTATCTGGAATTTAATCCAGTGTCATAAATCAAGGCGGAGATAACATTCACAGGTGCTACTCAAAATTTCTTCGTCATAATTTGGTGTGTCGTGCTATGTACTATTTGCTTGGTTTGTTGATGGTTACATCGACATTGGTTATCATATATTGAGCATCCTTTTGTATTTCTGTATCTGGATATTCGTGAATTCTTTTTTGCCTATCTATGTTAGATGTAGCAATTCTGACAACAATTCCGTATTCTTCCTAAACGGTGTAGTTAATACTCTAGACATAAGTACGTCGTAACTATCAGGCCACTGTGGCTAGTTCTGTAGTTTTGTATGTGTGTCTACTGTTCACTGGTTGTAAGACAACAGGAAAATCTATTAGGTGGATCTTTATCTAAGGCAGATCGTAAAATAATCAGCTTTCACAATCTGTTCATCATGGTATGGGTCAAAGCGGTTGTTCATTAGGTGTAGATTTCGAAAAAGTTTCTAGTGTTTTTAAGTGGAGGTAGATGAATTGCAGTCCATATTTCAGCATCTCCACGGTTAGCTTGTGGTCCACGGGGTATGATGTATCTTCAGCAAAAACACGCGGGAGATATTGCTGAACTGTGTCTGAGCACTGGCTCCTCACATCTACAGATAGCGAAATACGCTACAGGTCTTTTCGAAAGATACAAGGTTGGGTTTTAGATGAAAGCCAACTCGCTAAATAGCCATTGGTGTCAACTGAGTCTGTAATAACTAGAGACTTGGGTTAGTCACTAATACCTGTTGGTAGGCTTTACTCATCAGCCTGCCGACTGTAGTCTGGACGATTCAGGGAACGGGTTTTGTCTTACTTTCATTACGAATAGCTCCTGTGGGAAAGCTGAGCCAGTGAAAAACGTACATTAGGAAATGGCTACGGTAGTCTATGAAGACGATTTGACAGCAGTAACCGTGTCTTACAGTTCCATCTTGCCAGTCACTTGTTTTTAGCCGGGACCCGACCTATATCTGGTACTTTGACGTGGTGGTCGGGCTTGGATATCACAATGACCCAACGAGCTGTACTGCTCGAAACGCTTGTCTCTTCGAGGTCCTAAAGCAGGAAGGTCTGTCGAGTAGTAGTTAAACAAAAAGCAGTTAGCTTTAATGTGTAGATCCTTACGGTATGAAAGAAAACTGAGGGCAAAGTCGTGCTGCTGGCTAGATGGGATGGGAAAGCAGTTAGATGTTCCCTTTGGAAAACTAGCAATACCTTCCCTAATAGGAGGGAAGGTTAGTTTCAAAAAAGCACTCCTCCCTGTGGGCTTCTGGTGCCGGTAGTGTGTGTTTTCTCTAACCAGCGAATCTCATACCAACAGCCTTCAAAAGGTTTGATGTGAAAAGCCTTAAACACATTTCCCTAGGGCCGTTAGGTCACACAGAACTTTTTCTCACTCACCTAACCTAAGGAGTAGTCTTCCACGGTGTGAGCAGCCGGGAAGCATCAACCGCCCGCACGCTACCAGTAGTATTCGAGACCCCAGCGAACATGAACTATCCCCTCCAACTGTCTCCTTTGCCTTCACCTAACATTAATACTAAGCTTACCATATGGTCAGCCTCTTACTCTGCTACCATTGTCAGGAATCAAAGCCATCGATTTCACATTGCAGCTTTCATTGTTCGAACTCTGAGCCAAATTGAACAGCAAACGTCTCCTATCAGAACTCTGAAATCTCGAGCTTATGGATGTATGATGAGACACACATACAGAACCCGAGTGTGGCTATTAAGTTGACCTCGCCTGACTAGTACAGTGAATCTTCAAAATTCACCTTACGAGTAACTGGAGACTGAACGGTTAGCTGTCGTGGACAGGCTGGTATAGGTATAGCATTTATAGCCGTAAAGCAGAAAGTGTTCTCGACTGGTTGCCAGTCAACACCCATGTATATGCTGCTCACCTGAATGTGTCTGTAGGAAATAATTAGGAAGAATCGTTAGACCAGCCGATGCCTATTTGCAGTCGCCACCTGCTCACCGACCGACTGCAGCTCGGATGATGCGAAAAATGAACTGCAGGAAAGGCTTTCAACTTTGCTACAGAAACCAAAGCATTCGGATGTAGTCGTAATAGTAGGTGACTTTAACGCCCAAGTAGAGAAGCTGAGGTAAGCTAGTCGGAAAGGCATCCTGGTGAAGGTATGTATGGAACCCTAGGCCAACGAACTGACAACAGTGATCTGTTGCAACTTCGTCCTGACAATTTCTTGTTTCTGGTCAGCAATAACTTTAAGCGTAAGGAGGGACACTGTTTTATATATCGTCCGCACACATCAAATCGAAAATGTACACATAAATTATCTTGCTATTCCCGACCTGTAGAGAGTTACCTCTGTTTCTGGAGTACCTATTTGGTCTCCGACCGCGCAATAGTGTGAGTACGTGTATGTTTTCGCTTTACTGATCATAAAAAACAAGCTGTAGTGACGCTTGTTTGTGCTCGATTGGAAGATGGGAACGTGAAGTACTTGTAAAGAGGGAGATAGGTAAGCATTGGTCTAAACATACCAGCAAATAGTCACCTAAAGGAAACTTGCCGTAGTACAAGTCTGTTGTAGAAACAGTGGTCAAAACATTGGATTATATTTGCCCGAAAGTTGACAAGCACCATTACATTTCCACAACGTCATCCGAACTGATTGATGTGAGAAGACTCATTCAGGCAGTCTCTGATAACAATGAACAGCGAAAGCAAATTAAACTTAAATAGAGTCTTCAAAATGATCGCGAGAGATGGAGAAAATATCAGCGTTAGGTAACATTTAGTGACCATAAAGGCTTACTAAGGAATACCGGCGAGAAGAAAATCTTGGTTAGTGAAACCACCACCGAAAAGGATGGGATGCTTAAGACCTCCCAAAACAAGCGGCTAGAAGGCTGGGCAGAACACTTAGAAACAGTTCAACTGAACCTCAGCAACGATGCAGTCGCCTCACATACAGCCTGAACTTGAACGATATATAGGTGTCGGTCATCCACCTCTCCTTAAAGTGAGGAAAGCTGAATCCAACTTGAAACGATGCTGAGCACCAGGACCTGACAGTTTGCCAGTCTACGTTTTCAAGGATAGAGGTAGGAAATTTCTGATTAAAGTGATGGACGCATCAGGTAGTGCATGGGAATGAGACTGGTTTACTTTACTGATCATCTCAGTCTATAAGAACGGGGAGAAATCTCGTGACAGCCATAGGGGGAATTAGTTTGGTGAATATTGTGTCCAAGATCCATAGTTATCCAACGCCTAACTAAAGCTCGAGGAAACCACGCAGGTTTCAGATATAGACAAGAGTGCATCTATCATAATTTTCGCCTATGAGAGGTTGTGAAACAGACACATCTACCGGCCAGTGACCGATACTCGCCATATTTCTTGACCTGAAGGTGGCATTCGACTCAGTCGATCGTGAGGTGTGGCAGTGTCTGACTGTGAAGGGAGTACCGAGCAAGTGAACAATGCTAATCAAAGCTGTCTACTCGAACACATGCAGCCGCGTCAGGCCCTATGTTGAGTTGTCAAGTAAGTTGACGACAACTAGTGGTATCCGTCAGAGATGTCCACTATCACAGTTCCTATCTAAATTCGTAATAGACTTACTAGGTACGTCTGACTTCATAGAGATTGGTCTCCTTCCTGGGGGTCATCTGGTCGACTTGGAGTATGCAGGCGATATTGTCATGCTAGGGGAAGTTGACAAAACGCAGGGTCGTCTAAATGCGTTGAGCAGAAATCTGAATATGTTCGCCATGCATTTCTCACCTGCGAAATGTAAGATGATGCTTCTGAACTGGTCTGCTACAAGTACTTTCAGCTTAATGACAAGGAGTGAAGTGGCGGAATGTATCGACTACTTCATATGGGAAGTTGCATCAGCCTGAACGGGCCGGTTACTGACGTTTGGCATTTATCATCTTACTTCACTTGTCACATCAACTAGCAAGATATCGGACCATCAATCAAAAGATGATTATAC